GACATCTCTCCTACACCTTTCTTGTATCCGAAGGCAGGGTCCAGTGACTTCTCTTCACTATGAGACCCCTGCTTTTGTCTTGATTTGCATCCAGACTGGCCCCCTTTGATATTGCTGTTTCTGAATTCCTTCTCTCTGTCTATTACTAGAATTTATTTTTTTATCCTCCTGCCTGCCCCCACCAAACACCCACCAGCCCACTGTCCTAGGTCAGTTGGTTTTAATGATTTTCATCCGGTTTTAACTTACTCTTTTTTTTTTTTGTACAGATGGGCTATTTTCATGCTTTGGTTGCATTTCTCCTTCATTCTCTGCTCTTTAATCTGCTTTCACGTTATAGTCAGTTGTGCCAGTCCTCAGCATTGGGTCACCTCTTGCTTTCCATTCATTAGTCAGTCACTGCAAGAACCCAGTGAAGCACCCAACAGTCACGGTCACTGCTCTTGTACAGATGAATGCCTTCTACAGTCACTGGTGAGACACTCACACAGAGCTGAGCTGTGAATCATCTCGTCATCGTCTTCAGATCACATCTGTCCCTTTCTCCATGCCCTCTCTTTGCACTTCTGTGCCTGTTGCTGAAACTGCAGCTGCTGAACGCCTTTGTCAAGTCAAGTTCTCCTGTGCCTCTTGACCCATCAGCTGCCTTTGATGCCTTTGGCAGTGTCACAAAAGTGCCTTTCTAATTTTTTTTCTATTGTGTCATTTGAACATTTTCTTCTCCCTGAGATTTCTTTTGTGGATTGTGGATGTTGGATCTCTTTATTTCTGCAACACTTTATCTCAGGATACCTGCATCCAAACCCAGAAATTCAGCTGATGTGTTTTTGCAGGTGACTCACAAATCTGCATCTGCACATCACGCCTGTCACTTCCTGCCCGGTGTGAAAGGGCACACTTATTTCCCTGATGTTTTGAAAACACATCCCTGCCTCTTTTCTCCCCGTTTTCTTTTTCCCTGACCTGTGTCAATTATTCAGGCACTATCTTTAAATTGGAATTATCCCAGCTCATGCATTTTAACTTGCTGGTTGTTTCTGTGTAGCTGCTGTGTAGTGCTGTGTTTGTTTGTGCATGCAGCTCGAATGCTCATTTGGGCTCCCAGCGTCCAGTTCTCTGGTTTGTCTTAGTTCTTCTGTTCATCCAGGAAGCTGCTACCTACATCCCTTACCCATTTTTTGGTCATATCTTTATGCTCTCTGGCAATTGCAGCTGACAATAGAGCCCGAGGCTGCTCTTTGATATCACCCGTTTTAAGAGAAAAACGGGTTGCAGCAGAGTAATGGTGCATGGCAAGGGCGAGTATGCTTGTCTGAGAGTTGGGGTTTAGTAGTCTCCCAAAGAATCTGTTCAGTTAGAGAGGGAATATTGGTGCTATATTTTCCTTTTTTTTTTTTTAATTAACATCATGAGCTGAATTTTAAGTAGGCAGTTACCAGAGGCTTTCAGAAGGCTTCTGACACATACATTGTATGTGAGTGTCTGCATGTAGATACATACATTGCTCTTGCATAATATGTATTGTTCCTTTGATACTGAAGTGTTGACATTGGATACATGTTTATATTAACCCACAGTCTGCTATCCCGCAGGCAAGGGTGTTAGAAAATCACTGGAGTGCCAAACGGGATTGAAACTGTTGTTTTATGTGAGAGGTACAATGGCTGGTTATGGATATAACTGTGGAACGAACAACTATTGATATCCATACTATCGGCTTATCTCTTAGTTGTCACCAGTGATATGCAAAGCTGTAGCACTTCTTAAAACATTTGAAAGATGTTAATTGCCCATGCTGTTCATATTCCTGTACTGTCAGAATTTTTTTTCATTGTAAAAACTATGCATAAACTGTGTGTGCTACGGATGTTAATGAGTATAGCATATCTGACTTTTTAAAATTAGAGTAAGACTTCACTTCGTTAAGTGTCTCTAAATAGATATAATTGTATTAAACTGAAAATCTGAAAATTTTAGTATAATGAACATCTCTCAGCTTGTCCGACAACATTCTGCGGGTTACTGCAGCATCTCTCTCGTGCACTGCTTTCACTTAGCACTACAAAAAAATCAATCTCACGCATGCCATGGATTGAGAGTGCTCCGTACTGATTGAAATTTTGAATGTTGTTTGTCAGAGATCAGCAGAAATCCCTTTAGTCTGAGCAAGCTGTAGCTTAAACATCACGCTTTCCTGAGTGGTTAGCTTTCACAGACTGAGCTGTTAAAATAATCTTATTTTTTAATAAAAAAGTACTGGCTACTGACCGGTACTGTAAGAGATGGTTTTAAGGAAAATAATTCAATGATAATACCTTGCATGAGTCATTAATCATGAGTCATGATCAGCAGGCAGTGATGTCCAATTTGTTTTCTAATCCCGCGCTTGCTGCTGCTCTTTATTACCATAGTGATAATATTAAAGAGCTGCTAATGCATATAACCACGCAGCTGAAAATGACAGACTCTTTTTTTTGGTGGAATAAAATTTCCATATCTTAAGTTTGTTTTGCTCTGTACATTTTTTGACATGCGAAATCTAGGTAGTATAAAAGTGATCAAACAAGTATAATTTGCCAGGGAGTTAGGTTAACAGAACAGACTTTTTTTTGCTTTGCTTTCAAGCTAATTATCATGGCTTCCTAGAGAATTAAATCTAGTCTATTTTCTTATGAGGATTGGAGAGGCTTTGTATTCATTAAAAATTGGGAGGTAATTGTTCAAGCTACACTCTGCAATGAGAGCCTGCACTATCCATGTTTTTAATATTTGTTCTGAGCAAAAACTGGTAGCTGGATGGCAAGTTTTATTGCATGAATGTATGTCAGGGAATGACTACTGATGTTTTAGAGAAAATGGAAGGCTGTTTCTCTTCTGAGAGTCTGAATATAAAAAGAATCATTTAGCTGAGAAATGAGCTTTGGAAACCTATTTTCAGTCTTAAATAAAATTTTACCAAGAGAACCCATTTTAAAGCTCTGAAAGGTGGCGGCTGAAATGTTGTAGATAAAATGTGCGTAAACGGAGAGTGTTGAGGTGAAGCAGCAGTTGGGTGATGTTATTTATGAAGTAATGGATCTGGTTTTCAGTCAGATTTTTAGCTTGATTGAATTTTTATTAGTTTTACTAGTTTACACTTGATTGTAGAAAAGTCGATCACGACAGATTAAGACCTTGAATTTAACAAGGAACTCGGAAGACACATCGAAGTGTCTCACCAAATGTTAAAAAATGATCCCTTTACCTACTTCAGTGTATATGACCCTTACAATACACAGATACATATAGGCCTTACTAGTTTCTTTGTGCTGAACTTGTGAGATAGTGCTGTATTGATGGATGTGGTGTGGTAGGACGGGTATGAATCTACTGGCATAGGCGGCTCTCTTTGAAATTGGTACGATGCGTACTCCTTGGCATCCCGTAATGTGGTTGCTGTGCAGACTCCTCCTCCACTTCCATGAGGATTATACCTGCCCCAACAGAAGCATTTTCCACCGTAGTGTGGGATGGTACAGCTAGGGACAAGATAAGTGTACACCTGACAGGATTGTTCACTTCTTTCATTATAAACTAATTGTGTGTGGGTTTTTTAATGAGTGTTTGCTTGTTCATGTGTATATAAGGTTCTAAAAATTTTAGTCTGTAGACTAGAAGGTGCCCTGAACAGAGCATTAAATATAGCTGTCACCAGATTCTGCCTCTGTTAATGTGTTTGTGTTCTGAGTTCACCTTAGAAAAACTTTCCAAGAGCTTCTTGTGAGTTTTGGAAGACTCTTGTTTCTGCCAGACAGGATTAAGAAACAAAGGTGGTCTTTTCCCAGTTCTCAAAAAAGAATGTCTACCATGTCTTCTGAACTTTTTACATCCATTAAAAAGGAGGTTGGGGCTAAACTAGGACTAGTCTAGCAAATTGCAAGATTTTAATATAACAAATCTTTTTCTGTGTCTGAGTGGCCTCTAAGATAACCGATTTCTCAGATCAGCAGTCTCTGGTTCAGACTTTACCCTATTTCTTTTAACTCACTTGTCAGCCACTTTCTCCAGTAGACCCTTTTCCAAAGTAAGTAAAATAAAGCAGAGCTGCAGCTCAGGAATAATATTTGATAATGACTTCCTTGTTATTTCCTGGTATACAGGCATAGATTGCAGAGTGGAAATAGTGGAGGAGTAAGTTACGGGTGTATTAGTACGTAGAAATAGACTAAGATTATTGTGTAGCTGTATAAAAGGCAAGTGTGATGCTGTATATATAATACTGTTGTGTACTTTTCCTCCTTTGGGCTATTGCCCAGGTTCTGGTGCTCTGTGTCCAAGTGAGATCAACTCAAAATTGAACAAGAGCTACTGGAATGACTGGGAAAAGCATATAGCTAACAGAGGCTAGAGAGTCTAACTGGTGTTAAGACGGAGTGTGATAAATGTGTTAATGGAATTAGGTGACAGGGAAGGAACCTCAATATGGGAACGGTTTTTGGTTCTTAATTTTTGTGTTCCTCACAAAAGGTCTTGAGGTGTAATAGTTGTTTACAGAAGTACAGGAGATCCTGAAAACATCCAGATCCTGAAAAGTAGGGATTTTGATAGGATTTCTCCTCCAACACAGGTGTAGGTGGGTGTTTTTGGTGGAGGGGGGAGGATTTAGAAGACCCGTACAGAGTAAGTTGGTCTAATAGAGCATGAAAGTGTCTTACTACAGTTCTTGAGACTCTTTTGATATTCTGCACCCGAATACTTTCGGGTAATTTTTAGAAGAAAACATTTTAAAATATGCAAATTTCTGGTTTAACTACTAAAATCATTTCGTAAAACTATTAACTTTGTGGGAGTAGGTTCAAACCAAGAATTTTGCAAATACTGTCTGCAGTGGTTTCTGTAGACTTCTGTGATTGCATCGCCTTTGTATTAGTTTCTGCTGTCCTGCTTCCCTCTGTCAGACGACTGAGGTGGAAATTTACTGATTTTTAAATTTCACACACACCTTCTTTGTTTATTTCCAGAAATGGCAGCTTCTCTGTGGAAGCACTTACTTAAGACTACAAAGAAGAAGATACTGCAACAGAGAAGGGCGTCACTTTATGTCGGTGCTCATGGTTATGAGGAAGAACTGATAAAGAAGAAACTTCAGCAGTTTACTGGTGGATCCATCAACCTCTCCAAAGAAGACAATGGCATTGGAATACTTACTTTGAACAACCAAAAACTGATGAATGCCTTTACAGGTATTAATTAGTTGATGGGGTTGCTGTTTTTTTTTTTTCTCCAATTACTCCATTTAGCATTTTACCTAAACAAAATGACAACCTATGCCTTACCATTCCTTAGTTAAAAGAAAAATGTGTAAATTTTATTCAGATGTGCATCAAATGCCCACTGTTCTGCATAGTAGCTTTGCCATAAATGTAATGAAGATGAGAGAAATTCTCAAGGAGGGACTTTCTAGTAGAACATGCCTCTCCCCCTTTTCTTTTTTTTTGGTCAGCCCATTTCTGCTACTGTGCTCGTTCTTGTATCTTGTTTTATTTGGTCTCTATTGCTTTGGAAAATGTACAGGGTATTTTTATGGGGGTAGGAAGATACCATCTTTGTTTTGTAGGTGGTGTAGAAAGAGTGAGTTTACTTCTTTGTTCTTTACCTAAAGGCTTCCCTGTAACTTAAGATTCTATGATTTGGTCTTTTCATCACCAAACTGGCTTCCATTTCTTCTTCATTTGCCTTATATCTTAAATACCAGTGACTGGTTAATGAAAGATCAAATGAGCTGCGTATTCTCAGCTGTTGCAGATCAGGAATCTTCTTAATATGCTTTCACACTGGGCAATGCTTGGCTATCAAAACCAAGTGCTCTGTTTGATTGATGTTATATTATGAGAGGCTTTTGATTTCCAAGATAGGTATATTTGTTGTCTCTCCTTAGCTGTCTAGAATGTTCCAGTTTATGCTGTTCTCCTCAGACATAAGTGGCACAGGTTCAGGGTCTGCATCTGCCTGAGCTGGAGCTGTGCAAAAGCCTTTACTGTAAGAATGCCTTTATCTCTTAATGTCGTGGTTTTAGGCTGATCCAGCA